TGGGGAGATGACAGAGATCATTAATGCTTTCCTCCTCCTGTTTTTTGTGTGAAGCATGTTGCTTTTATGTCAGGATGGAGGACCTGGTGACTACTACTTATTCAGCCCCATCCCAGTATAAATAGGAGCTGTTGTTCTACAAAGAGATCTAATTGTGGTCACATGCTGGGGCTGGAGGCAGCATCTGAAGAAGGAAAGACAAAAGGGGTCAGGAAGGATTCTTGGATGGAGGTGACGTTGATGTGTTGGCTGAGAGACTGGAGTACTGTGAGACCTGGGGATGGAAGCAGGGTGTAAGAATGCAGTGGGAGCTGAAATGAGGAGTATTAGGGTGGCACTCTTTTGCTCTTTTGCCATGGTATTGGCATCTCCTAGGGCAAGAGGGTGCAGGCCTGCCCTTCCCTTGGGAAGGGCTGCAGGGACTACTTTCCCTAGGAAAGGCAGATCACTTTGTTAGTCACAAATTCTGGTAAAATTGGGTTGCAGATTTTAGTCACGTGCACAAGGCCCTTGGGCAACCCAGTGGATGGTGCAAGAGTCCAAGCAATGAGCTCAGCTCCCTACTACGCCTGTCAAGCACCAGGGCTTGCTGTTGATGGTTTTTGGCTTCCTGCCTCTGGCCTAGAAACCCTTCTGTCCCTGTGCTGCCCAAGGTCCAGGCTTTTCCCTCTGCATCCCAGCAGGACATGGCCATTTGTCATCGAGTTTGGAAAGGGGCGAGCATTTGGGGGATTTGTCCATGGGATGGCAAGAGGTGAAAGAACAGCTCAGGGCAGCTGTTTTCAGGCTGCAGAGCTTGGTCTTGCCATGGGGATTTATAGTAGCCAAAAGAGGAGGAGAAAAAAGGGTTCAGGACACAGTGTGTTTTTTAGAAAAAATAACCACTCAAACAGCAGTCTGAGTAGTTGTACCTACTCCTGGGGGAGGAATCTCCCAGAAGTGGGGACTGGGGGTAAGCAGAGTAAGCAAGGGGTGAACTGCACACTGGTCTTTTCACAGTGCTCAGCAGCCTGCTCACCCCTCTCTTCCCCGAAGAGTTTGGTATCTTGTGTTTGGGTTGGTTTGTTGGGGTGGTGTGTTGTTTTTTTCTGCCTTTCAGATGAGGGCTGCTCAGCCCGATAAGCGCGTGGCGCAAGCACAGGCGAAATGTGCGTGCCCCTGACATGTGGTGGAGCTGCCCCTCCTTGAGGCTCTGTGGCTGCAGATCAGCCCCAGCAGGGCAGAGCCATCCCCACATCCCGGGGCGATGGGGGACGCGCCTCCGAAATTGGCGCGGCGCTAATCGGGCAGAGCCTGTGTCGCCTGCGTCGGGGCGATATGCTCACCCGGCGTCTCCACGTCCTTATCTCCTGGGAGCAGGCAGACTGGGCACGGGAAGAGTGGCCAGGAGAGGAGATGACCAACATGCCCACGGGTGACAGGCGTGATGGCTGGCAGGGCCCAAAAACATCCCAAAGTGATGGCTGTGCCCCTTCTGCTTGCTTGCAGTCGGGCTGTGAGGAACATCCCAGCCTCGAGCACAGGGAAAACCCACAGCTGTGCAGCACCGTGGTGGTATGGGAGCCAGCACCCCAGCTCACATACAGAGCTTGGCCTTAAAAAACAGCCCATAAATCTTTTAAAACAGTAATCAGTTCAGCAGGCAGGGGTGATGCCCCTTTGCAATTTATTTGTATCCTTCAAGCCTGCTCTGCCCCTAGCAATGGCCAGGCTGAGTGGCTTCATGCTGAGCTGACCACACTGCATTGCACACTGGGGGCTCAGAGCTGAAACTCTTATGATCACAGTTGGAACTTCAGCTAGATTCCCTGTTTTGCTCTTAAAAAAGCACAGAATCACTTGGATCTGACTACCACCAAGACCAAGTTCCACCGCTGGGGATTTTGAGTCTCTCTGAAATGGAAACTGGGTAAAGTGAAATGTTATCTCTGACATTAATTGCCAGAAGTGCCCTGGTGCTCCCAAAAGCCTATGAACAGCTGTCCTGCCCCTACAAGGCAGGGGCTGTTACCCCATGGATCTGTAGCACAGCCACAGTGGACGTGGTTTGACCATTTAAGACGAAATCTGCAGCTGGAAGACCAGTGTAAATCCCCATGGGGTCTGGTTGAACTCAGTGCAGGCAGGGAGGAGAAGGTAAACAGGATTACAGGGAGGATTCTTCTGCCAGACTCTGTCCTCTGGGATTTGTTGGAGATGTGGGATTTCCCAATTTCTGCAGAATAATGCCAGAAAGGGAAGGCTTGGGAGGCTTGGAGTGGCTGGGTAACAACTCCTGAGGAGAAAAGTGGATGCAGGGGGTAACCCACCCCATCCTGGGCACGGTGACAGGTTCCTGTGGCCAAAAATACAGGCATGAACCCAAGATGGCCTTGGTGGCATGGGTGCCTATGGGAAAAACTCTTCCTTCTGGATGAGCCCCCTGTGCTGCCTTGCAGTGGGGTGCCAAAAGCACTGGACCCACTTCCCAGAGGCATCAGGGCTTGCATTGCTTGGCATCTGCCTTCCACCTCCAAGCCTGACATCCTGCCAGGGGCTGGAAAAGCCTCTCATCCTCTCAGTCCTGACCAGTTCATGTTAAAGATGCATTGTCAAAACAGTGCAAAGTTCAAGGGGTGCATTCCACTATCAGCTGGGGTGCTTGGGGGTTTGCCTTGACCAGGTTACCCCCATGTGCAAAGCCAGCAGCAGCCTGATGAGCTGTGACCCTCTGTGTGCCTTCCCTCCAGTGAGTTGCCTGGGGGCACGGGATCTTCCCCTTAGTTTGACTGACTGAAAACAGGGATCTAGAGAGTACGAAAGAGCCAGAACCTCCATGCACAGGGGAGAGCATGTTTGTTTGCCAGCAGCGGCACCCGCCGGAGGAGGACGAGCAGCCCGGATCAGCAGCAGGAGCTGCCCAGGTGAGCCAGTGAGATTAGACCCCTAAGGTGGCCAAAGTTAGGTAAAGCATCTGCCCTGTCCCTCCCCATCCCTGCACTGGATTGATAATTGCTGCCTGGCTTTTGGGGCTGGAGGCTCTGCAGGCAGCCCGTGGTGCTGTGCCAACCCCAGGGGCCAGTTCCTAAACCTCCCCTAAACCTCCTGGTGTCCCCTCAGAGCCTGGCACGGGCAAGCCACGCGCGACGGTTGCAAACTTGGATGCAAATAAAACCAGATGTGCCTTATCTGCGTGCCTGGGTTTGCCTACGTGCAGCAGCCAGCGCCCACGGTTCATTCCCAGATAGGAAAAATGACAGGTCCCTCAGATGGTCAAAGTGTTGCACAGAGGCCACCAGAGCTCCTGCGCTCCATAAGGGGATGGAAAGCCATTTATTTATTACATCCTAAACAAAAACAAACCCCAAGGGAGGCAGGAGGGTGGTTATTCCTCTCCACAATTAGGAGCAGTTTGCTCCTAATTAAATCAAAAAGTTTGCAGGTGCTGAGAACCTTTCCCACTCCCCACATGGAATAGAGCATGTGAAGAAACTCCATCAGGGAGGAAGGCTCAAGGAGATGCACTTGGTCCTTCCATCTGTGGGAAAGCATCAGGGGCCTGAGTGTCTTCTGCCAGGCCAGGTCTTCACATCAAAGATTCCTATTTCTGTTTAAATGTAGTGATGGGACAAGGGGGAATGGCTCTAAACTGAAAGAGGGCAAGTTTAGATTAGATATTAGGAAGAAATTCTTTACTGTGAGTGTGATGAGGCACTGCAACAGGTTGCCCAGAGAAGTTGTGGATGCCTGAAAGTGTTTAAGGCCAGGCTTGATGGGGCTCTAAGCATGTTGGTCTAGTGGAAGGTGTCCTTGCTCATGGCAGGGAAATTGAAACTGGATGATCTTTAAGGTCCCTTCCAACCCAAACAATCTATGATTCTATGATTCTGTTTCTATTATCTCAATTTCTACTATTTCTATTATTTCAATTTCTGTATTTATATTTGGATTTATGTATCTATATTGATGTTTTATTGATGCACACTTCTGTGTGTCCCTGGCTGGTGGTTTTCATGGTCCTGGACACCCAGGGCACTCAGAGGCTATTGAGAGGTGCTCACTGTGTATTTTAACGATAAACTGAAGCACGGGGAGGTTTGGCTCAACTCTGAGCCCAGCATGGCATGTTGGTGGGCACCAGGTGGCTACACCCACATGTTTTTAAAAAATAAGGGGAAAACAGCATCTAAATCCTACAGGCAAGATGAAGATAGTGGCTATATTTAATCTCCCAGGAACAGCCGACCGCTCACCCAGCAGGGAAAGGATGTCTGGCTGATTGCCACTATGTCCCTGCTCTGTCCCTGCACTAAGGGCTGTGTGTGTCCCAAAACAAGGGGACAGCCTGCTATTTGTGACCCCTCACCATCCATGTGCAAGGGCTGAGCTGGTGTTCCTAAAGCACCTGGTGGAGGGCAAAGGGGCAGAAGAGGGAGTAGTGGCACTTGGCCTTGTGGTATTGCTGCTGAGCTGACTTGTGCCCAGTGCTCCCCGTTTTCTCCTTGGTGCTGTGCCCAGTGTCTTCTCTAGTGTCCCTTCTTGCTCCCTTAATGTGTTCCATAGTGTCTTTCCTTGTCCCCTGATATTTTTCCAGCACACCCCTTGTGTTTCCCCTAAATGTCCCTGTGTCTGCCCTAAGTGTCCCTCTGCATCTCTTGATGTTGCTCTGAATATCCCCGACATACCAGTGTCCCCAATGTCCCCCCCAGTGTCCTTCTTTGTCCCTACACGATATCCTTCCAAATGCACCTTGTACCTAAGTGCCCCACTAAATGTCCCTTACAAGTCCTCGCTGTTCACTGTCCCCCGCTGATCCCGCCGGTGTCCCTCCTGGTCCCCACCACGTATTCCCCCAAATACTGTTATTTATTCCACAGTGTCCCCGCACTGTCCCTGCCGGTGGCTCGGGTCAGGGCGTGGCAGGGGACACGCGGGGACACGGGCGGCGGGCGCGGGGCAGTCCTCCCCGCGGTCCGCACCGCGGCTTTAAAGGGAGCCCGCGGCGGGCGCGGCCGCAGAGGCACCGGCGGGGGCACCGGCGGGGGCAGAGCGGCACCGGCTCTGCTGCGGCTTCGCGCACCCACCGCTCCCTTCCAGCCTCTCCCCGCCCCGGGGCGGGGGTCCCAGGCCGGACGGGCCACGCTTCCAGCCGCGAGGGCATAGCGGGGCATCGCGGGACGAAGCACTCGCCATGAGCGACAGCCCGATCCCACTGCCACCGGCTCCGGCCACCAAGCCCAAGCGGGCCCGCTCAGCGCGGCGGCCGGCGGCCCACCCTGCGTACTCGGACATGATCAAGGCGGCCATCCGGGCCGACAAGAGCCGCGGTGGTGCGTCCCGGCAGTCCATCCAGAAGTACGTGAAGAGCAACTACAAGGTGGGCCAGAACGCCGACGTCCAGATCAGGCTGGCCATTCGGCGCCTGCTGGCCACCGGAGTCCTCAAGCAGACCAAAGGAGTTGGTGCCTCCGGCTCTTTCCGCCTAGCCAAGCGGAAGAGGTCTCCGTCCAGGAAGAGGTCTCCATCCAGGAAGAGGTCTCCGTCCAGGAAGAGGTCTCCTTCCAGGAAGAGGTCTCCTTCCAGGAAGAGGAAGAAGACAGCCAGGAGATCCACTTCTCCCCGGAAGCCGGCTAGGTCCCGGAAAGCCAGGTCCCCGGCCAAGAAGCCCAAGTCTGCCGCCAGGAAGGCCAGGAAGAAGTCAAGGAGCCCGAAGAAAGCCAAGAAGCCAAAGACTGTTAAGGCCAAATCCCTGAAGGCGTCCAAACCCAAGAAGGCAAGGAGGTCGAAATCCAGAGCCAAGTCCGGTGCCCGCAAGTCGCCCAAGAAGAAGTGAGAAGTCTAGAGGCGTTTCGGTACTCTCCCCATTGGTTCTGTAAATAGCTGTTGCCTTTGTTCTTACTCCTTTCTCCTTCATTTTATAAAGAATTGCTCTATTCATGAATTGAAATAGCTGAAACAAGGCAGTTGATGAATGAAAAAAAACAATTTTAAAGTGTTACTCGTCTGGGTTTTTATTCTTCTATCTCAGAAATTTCTTGTGTGTGTGTCTGTTGGTTTTATTAATGCTGGACTGCTTGCTGTGCGTTGGGAGTGATGGTGACTCTGTGTGCCTGTTGGGGTTGTGCAGGATTTCAATTCCTGGTCCTGCCCCAGCTCCTGGGGGGTTATGTGTTTGTTGGGGCCAGGCAAAGACATGGGCAGGGAAGCCAGAAAAAATGGCTGCGAAAGCCCTGGCCTTCCCCGGAGGAGGAAAAGGGGTCCCTGTTCCCTCATCCAATGCTGCAGATCCCCACCATGGGGATGCGGTGAGGAATGTTGGGCTGCTGGGTGTGAGGTCAAGCTGGCGCTGGAGATAACTGGGCTGCCCGCCTGCCTGTGGAGCTGCCTCAGCACAGCTGGGTGGTGGCAGAGACTTTTGGGGCAGGGATGGGACAGAGGAGATGGAGCGGGGCCAGAGTCTGTCCACACTGGCTTTCAAGGAGTTGAAGGTGTCCATGAAGTGGGAAGTGGGATCACCGTGGGGAGAAAGGACAAACAGAGCCATAAGCATCTTTGCTCCCCATGGAGGAGCACCCTGAGGCAGTGGACAGCTCTGCAGGTGGGGTGTGGTGGGCAGCCAGGGCAGGGTGAGGCAGAGCTGCTGGGCTCAGCCCTGCTGTGACCCAAGGGCTCTGGCTTTGTGCCCAGTGGGGGCTGGCACAACTCCAGGGCCTGTCCCCTGCCAGAGCCCCTCCCTGGGCTGGGCTGGTGATCCTGACAGCCAGGGCTGGCAGGGAGCCTGTGGATTGGCCTCACTGCTCAGTGAGGTCTGAACCTCAGGCAGGGGCTGCCTAATCCTTCTTGGCTAGAGACAGATAAACTTCTTGATCATCAGATCCCAAACCACCTGGGCCAGATGCTCTGAAATCCCTGGGGCTCTGGGTGCCCAGGGCCCTTGGACTTGCTGTGCCTAACTCTCATAAGCCCAGGGTCTTCACCCTCTCCTCATGGCTCCCAAATCCTTTAGCCTGTTCTTCCTAAATCACTTGGGCAAATGGTGCCTGAGTCCTTTAGCCATTAAGGATTCTAAACTCAGTACTGAAATCATTGGCCTGGATGCACCTAATCCCTGTGGGCTCTTGCTCCTAAGACCCTTGGATCAAAGGCTACCAGGACACCTAGACTGAAGACTCTGAACACCTTTCAAGAGCCTGATACCTTAGTCCCCTGGAATGAGTGGTCTAAACCACTCTGACCACAGAATTCCCCAGTCAGCTGTAGTAGAGGAAGGAGATACCTAATCCACACAGAACAGAGAAGTTGTGGATGCCCTATCCCTAAAAATACTCAGGCTGAGTTTTGATGGGGCTCTGACCACCTTGGTCTAGTGAAGGTGTCCCAGCCCATTACATGAGCTTGGAACTAGATGATTTTTAAGGTGCCTTCGAACCCAAACCATTCTATCATTCTATGACCCTTTGTGTCTAAAGCCACTGACCCTATGGTTTACAGGCACATTTGGCCAGAAGTGCTCAAATCCCTTGGGTCTGGGTATTCTAATTTTCACCTGGTAAATCCTAAACCTCTCTATCCAATGGATTATTGGTCACCTCAACTGTATACACCCACATACCACAGACCCGTGGCTCATTATCCCCAGTGGTGGGGATAAACCATAAACCACCTATTGCAAGGATCCAAGTCAGCTATGCTGAAGACCCCTAATCCCTAGGCAGAGGCACCTAATGCTACTGGGCTTGTTGATCCTTGAGGTCCGTGATGCCCTGTTGCTGTAAAATCCCTCAGACCCTAGTACGTGACCCCATTACAGTTCCTAAATCTCATGGATGGCGTGCTCCCAAAACCCCTCAGACTCCGGGCATCACATATCTTGTTCTGCGGTACCTAAACCCCTTGGGACAGATCCTCTCCTCAAAGAGGACGCCGAACGCCTCCTAGAGAAGGCGCCCAAGCGCTCCGAGCCGCTGCAGCTGCGGCGGCGCTGGCCCCGCCCGCGGGGGGCGGTGCCCCGGCGGCCAATGGGCATTGGTCAGTAATTAACGCGTGGTTTATTAGCGGCGATGGGGTGTGGGGGCACGGGGTCGCCCCCGGGCGTGCGGGGCGGAGCGCCGGGATGTGGCGGGCGGCGGTGCGGGTGCTGCGCGGGGCCGGGGCCCCCCGGGCCGCGTCGGGAGCGGCGGCGGGGGCGCTGCGCGGGGCCGGGGCCGGCGCCCCCCGGGCCGCGTCGGGAGCGGCGGCGGCGCAGCTGCGGCAGCGGCTGGAGAGCGAGCTGGAGGAGATCCGCAGCGCCGGCACCTGGAAGAGCGAGCGCGTCATCGCCTCCCGGCAGGGTCCCCACCTCCGCCTGACGGGCGGCGGCCCCGGTGCGTGCGGGGGGCGCGGAGAGGAGGAGGGCTCCCGGTCCCTTCCCTTGGTGCCATGCCCCTGCTTTCTCTTTCTGTTCCCGCAGGGATCATCAATTTCTGTGCCAATAACTACCTGGGGCTCTCCAGCCACCCCGAGGTGATCCGTGCCGCTGTGGAGGCCCTGGAGAAGTTCGGCGCCGGGCTCAGCTCCGTCCGCTTTATCTGCGGTACCCAGGTACCGGGACATCCCCTTCCCCTGCCCCGCGGGCCTTTCGCAGGGTGCCCACGTAGACTCCCCTCTCGGCATGCGTGCACAGCGCTAGCTTACACGTGGCCCCGTGAGAAAAGGAGCCTGCCAAATCCCCACTAGCCCAGCATTTGGAAATACGCTAATTTAAACCATTACAACACCTGAGAGTAAAGAAACTGAACATCCCTCTGAATTCAGAAAATAAATGTCTTTCTCTCTCTCTTTCGGGTCAAAATTACGGTGAACCTGACTTGAAGTGGCTCCATCAGCCCAGTTTATCCGTGCTGGAGCCTTTTTTGAGTGCTGCCTGGTTAAGTGCAAAGAGCAAGCAGAGCTTCTCCCTTGTGCATGGGGACCTTGGAGTCTCCCTGCCGAGCTTTGGCATCCAAACCCATAATTATACTTTAGGGCTGCATTTGCTGAAAAGAAGTAGCTTCTCCCACGCGCACAGACACCTTTTCTGGATAAAACCTGGCTGTGTCCTCCCCTTTCAAGTCAGCATTTAACAGCAGTGGGCAAGCAAGGACTTGTGCTGCCCCACTGTTGGCTCCTGCTCCTCTCTTCTCTTTAGAGCATACACAAGGACCTGGAGGAGAAGATTGCACGTTTCCACCAGCGGGAAGATGCCATTCTCTATGCCAGCTGCTTTGATGCCAACGCTGGTATCTTTGAGGTTCATGAGACTCTCCTTGTGTTGTGCATGGAGGAGGGAGGTGACAGCAATGTGGCTGCCATGCCTTCCAGAGGCTCTGCTGTGAGCTCTATGCACCAGAAAGGATGGCAGTGGCTGGTGGTGAGGAGCCTGACTTGAGGCCCTTGCACCAGGGAAGCCATGCAGAGGCATTTAACCACCCTCACCTCTGCTGGCTCCAGCCAGCTTCAGCTCTTGGGAAGGGCTTCCATTTCTCATGAAGTCTGTACTCACCCTTAAAGTGTAGGTGAGGGGCAGGGGTGATCTCACATGTTAGAAAGGGGGAGGGAGATTTTCAACTCAGAAGCCACGAGCAAGAGCCTGGCATAAAGAAATCGGGGATAAGGTGACTAGGAAGGAAATATAAAGTCTAGCAGTGTCAGGAGAGACGTGGCAACTGGAATCAATCACAGCCTTGTTCTCTGTACTGAGGGAGGCTGGGACATGTTGGTGAGGTGGCATCCAGAGCAAAGGATGATCCTTTCTGTTTGGCATGGCCAGGCCCTGCTGACCCCAGAGGATGCAGTGCTGTCAGATGAGCTGAACCATGCTTCCATCATCGATGGGATCCGCCTGTGCAAGGCCAACAAGTACCGCTACAAGCACATGGACATGCAGGACCTGGAGGCTAAGCTGAAGGAAGCTCAGGTATGGAGTTCTGCTCCCACCCCAATGCCAGGGCACTTGCTTAGCTGTGCTGCCTGTGCAGCAACCAGTCCTGGGGGTGAGCTCTGCCCTTTCCCATGCCATAGGCATTGTTCTTGCTGACAGGCATGGATAGACAAGGTGGCAAAGCAGCTGGTTGTGATGCCAATCCCCTCCATCTCAGTTAGGTACATCCTCTCCGTACAAGAGTTTGAGTGTGTCCCTTTGCCAGCCCCTCTCCTCAGGGTGACATCTTCACTCCTGGGGATGCCTTTTTCCCTTCAACAGAAGCATCGGCTGCGGCTGGTGGCCACTGATGGAGCCTTCTCCATGGACGGTGACATTGCGCCCCTGAGGGAGATCTGCCAGCTGGCCCACAAGTATGATGCCCTGGTCTTCATCGATGAATGCCACGCCACAGGATTCCTGGGACCCAACGGGCGGTGAGTGACTGCCTCAGCCCTGCTTCTTCCTCCTACCCTGACTGGTTCTGAAGCAAGGACCAAGGTGCTGATGGCCATCGTGTTTTTGTGTGGGGACTCCTTGAAGGCTTTGCACCTCACCTTTGGATTGAAAAGAGGTACTTCAGCAGTGATCCATCCCCAAGTGACAGCTGCTTCTTCGTGTGTAACAGATGGTGTGACCATCTCATCTGGGCACCACCTCTCCTGGCAGGTGCTTTGCTTGGATTATTAAACTTCTGTGTGGGAAGTTTGAGCACTTTCCCATCTCTAAGGGATGAAGAACCCACGCTCTTACTTGATGAGGTCCCAGCTTAGGCTTTCTGCAGGAGATGAAGGTCATCATTTGGGTTGAACTATTAAAGGGGCTGTTCCTCCTTGTTTAGAAGGAGGGATGCCAGAGACCTGGCTGGCAGTGCTTTGTGTTCCTTGAGGTATCTGGCAGCTTTCCTGGTGCATGCTGGCAGAGCTTATAATGCGATGTTCCTTTTCCTACAGGGGTACCGATGAGCTCCTGGGAGTGATGGACAAAGTCACCATCATCAATTCTACTCTGGGAAAAGCTCTTGGAGGAGCTGCAGGTGAAGGCATTTTCCTGCCCAGCATCCTGCATGCCCTAAAGAGCTCTACAGCATCAGTCTTACATTTCCTTCCTCTGCCTAATGATAGAGTAACAAATGCATGTTATCCCTTTCCACTGGGGTATAAGGCTTGGTTTGTGTTGTTGCTGCAGGACTAAGGGAGATCCTGCCATGTGCTCCTTACACTGTCATCTTTTGCATGTATTTGCTTTTGGGGTCAAGGTGGAAGCTCTTGGTCAAAAGTATCAGCTGTGATGTTTAGACCTGGTTTGTACCTAAATTCCTCCTATAGGTGCCAGGTTGACTTTATCAAGAAGCCTCACTCTAAACAGGTCACCCTGGGCTGCCTTGTCCAATTCTCTCTCCTCTGTCTGCAGGTGGGTACACAACAGGTCCCAAACCCCTCATCGATCTGCTCCGCCAGCGTTCCCGCCCGTACCTCTTCTCCAACAGCCTGCCCCCTGCCGTGGTGGGCTGTGCATCCAAGGCCCTGGACCTGCTCATGGAGAGCAATGCCATTGCACAGTCTATGGCTGCCAAAACCCAACGGTGAGGGGGACGTATGGGGGTGGGAGCAGGGGCAGCTTTGTCAGGAGTGAGTTGTCTGTGATTTATTCACCCCTCCTTTCCCAGTGATAACTGTGAAGACAGTTGGCAAATCAGGGCTCAGGGAAAGCTGCAGGATGTGCCTGTCTGTGTCAGGTAGATGTGTCACATCTGGATGCTCTGTGAGCTGGGGCACATTGTCCACTCAAGGCTCTGCAGTCCCATTATGCTGAGCAGGACACGGTAGGAGGTCACTCCAAGAGGAGAGATCTCTTCTTTGCACAAAAGATGAACAGTGGAGCAAACCTTACCCAGTTCTCAGTGGGCAGGGCTCCCAGGGGAAAGAAAGGGAGGGGTCTCCAAGGACAGGGTTGTTGAGGTTTTTACTCATCCTGTTGTTCCCTTCACCAGGTTCAGAAGTAAGATGACGGCGGCTGGCTTCACCATCTCAGGGAAAGACCACCCCATCTGTCCAGTCATGCTGGGGGATGCTCGGCTGGCCTCAGTGATGGCAGAGGACATGCTCAACAGAGGTGATCTGGGGAGGGAGCTCAGTATGCGGACACATTCCCTGAGGGAAGGGACAGTTGGTAGTGGTGCCATGACAAGCCCTCCTTCAGAGGATGTTCCTGCATGAAATCCAGTACTCCTCTACCCTCCAGCTGCAAATGTCCTCATAGTCTCCCTCAGATGTTGCTGGCTGCACCTTCTTTCTCTGTTAGGGAAGGGATTTACATTAATGCTCTTGTCCTTGTCTATGCTGGACTCCATCCCCATTGCTGGCCCTTAACCTCATTTCCATGCTTGGGAGCAGATGGCACTTGAAAACCCTGAAGGCTGGCAGTGGTTATTGGGAGGGGAGCCCTTCTGTCACCCCGTGCACCTCAGCCTGCCTCCATCCCAGCCAGCTCTGACTCTGCCTGCGCTTCCTCCCCAGGCATTTACGTGATTGGCTTCAGCTACCCCGTGGTGCCCAAGGGCAAGGCGCGCATCCGGGTGCAGATCTCAGCCGTGCACAGCGACGAGGACATCGACCGCTGCGTGGAAGCCTTCACCCAGGTGGGACGGAAGCACGGAGCACTGCCCTGAGGGGCCAGAACCAGGAAACACCTCTTCAGCACCATCCCTGCCCACAACCAAGTGCCTCTGATGGGGGAAAAGGCCTGAGCAGCACACTGCCAAAAGCAGGACCGTTCCTCAAGGCATCACAGCCTGCATCATGAGTCAGCCAGCTGCTGTTGCAGTGTGCTGGCAGTAGCACTGGCAACCAGCACGTAAAAGTGTCATTAAAAGTGTCCTGCAGTGCAGCAGATATTTGTCTGCCTCCTATTTCCTCATCCAGGAGCTGCACCCTATCCCCATTGTCTCACTCTGTGACTAGGCTCTCTGCTATGCCTTCCCTGAAGCCTCAGTCCAGATGCTGAAGCGCTGCAGTTCCTGCTGTCTCCTGCTGATGGAAATAACAGCATTGCTGATGTTGCCTGCTTCTTCTGTGCTGTCCTGTGTGTCCAGCACCATCACCCTGACAGATCTGACTGCTGCAATTCCCCACTGAGGCAGGGGTGTTTCCCAAGCCCTTTGCAACCTGTGTCACCAACAGCTGGTTAGGGGAAGAGAACATAAGCCCACCAAAGCTCTGGTGCTCCTTTCTCTCCTTCTCGCTCTTAGGTGTTAGATGTGAGGCTTGCTTGGTCCCCAGCTACCAGGCTTTGCCAGTTGCTTCAGTGGTCCCAAACCTGTCCTGGAAAAGACATTCTTGCCCCAGAGAGGCCATCAGGCAGTGGGCAAGCTGAGGTGGCAGAGGCCACAACAGCATGGTGAGAGGATCTGCATCTGACTAAGGCCAGGGGCAGAGCAGGTGACAGAAGCCTTTAATTTTCTTCCATATGGCAGGAATCTCTGGATTTGTTCCTCCAAGCTGTGCTGTAGTATTTCAGCATTCAAAAAGACACAAGTGGGACGTGGGCATCTCTTAGGATTACTTTGTTTGCATCAGTTTTGTTCTAGATTAAAAACTGTGTCCTGCCAGCTGCCCATGTGCTGAATGAGTAGCTGCAGCCAGGGACAGATTCTAGCTGAAATGGAGTGTGCTGTGTCTGAGTGCTGGAGCACTGGGTTGTATCAGCAAGGACCTGCTCTGAAGTCCTTATGTGTCACTGGGCTGTCAGGGAGCAAACTACAGGGCAATAATGTCTGACCTGAGCCAGAGCAACTGCAGGAGAATACAGGTGTTAATCCAGGATTGTAGGGCTTTACAAGGATGCAAAGGACAGGGGAGAAGTGTCTTGTAGATTCAACAGGAGTACAACCAAACCCTTTTAGAGCAGCTGGTAGTGTAACTGTATGCTGATTTTGTTTAATTTTCCATCCCCACAGGCCCTGAGTTCAGCCTGCTGATAGACTGGTATGGAGTTCCCTTTCTGTGGCACCAGGCCCTTGCAGTGCTGCAAACCCTTTTCAACGGGCAGTATTTTGGCATGGGGAAGGCAGGGAGATTGCTCTCAGGCCCCTTGTGCAACCTGGAAGAGATGAAAGTTCAGCCAGATGGGCTCAGGGAGGTTTGAGACCCGAAACTGAATAATTGCTGGTTTGTGCCCAATGCATGTGCACCCCTTGCTCCCCCTACCTGCACAGCTCCGTTGCACACCTGTACCACCCTCCCTCACATTTCTCTCCTGCTGGTCCCCAGCCCTGGTCTCCCCCTGGCCCTCTGCAGGCATCCCTGCTGATGCCTCTGCTCCACTCAGGGCAGACAACCCAAGCAGTTTAACCCTGCTCCAGCTTTCAAGTCCTCCTCGTTGGCAGAGCAGCCCTACAGGTCTCTGCTCATCGGCAGGCTGGAGCAGCAAGAGCAGCCTCCCTCCTGTGATGCTCACAGTTGTTTTTGCATGCATGTGTGGGCTCGCCCTTCTGCCCCTCTTCTCACCAGACACACTGACCTCCCTCTCCCCTCCGTATCTCCCGGGTGCCTCAGCAGCCAGCTCCCTGCACTCTGCCTGCCTCAAGGCCAAGCTCAGCAGCAGGCTGGGGAGCTGTCTGGGGAACAGACTGTAGTGCTGGAATCCCAGGAAGGCAGGAGGGTCAGATGATGGCACACTGGTAATGAATAATGCCATACTCATTGACTTGGAGGCATCATGTTAATGTTGAATTGAGGCACATCCTCCTGCTCTTTATTGCTTTGAGGCCTTCCAGCCTAGGTCTGATCTACAGCTGTAGCCAGCTTTTAGCCCAGAAAGCAGAGGATTGTTTTGCTGAGTGGAACGTAGAGGCAGATGACAGTTCTTGAGGATGCAGGTCCCACCCTGGGCTCCCTGACCTACCCCATACCCTGTATGCTGCTCAGGCAGTCCTGAGTCTGGAGCTGTCACCCTCTGCACTGTGGGATAGGTGGGAGATCCATGTGTTTCACCCATTTTACCTCAAAGTAGGGGACTATCCTATCCCATCCCATTTTCATACACACCTAGCCCCAGAAATACTTCCAGCCCTGGGCCATGGCCCACCTCCCACCTCTATGCTCACTAGGCTGCCTTGTTGCATTCCCAAAATACCCCACTGCCCTATGATTCCCTGCAGCCTCTCTCCACATTGCTGTTTCCACCCAGAGCAGTGACCCACCTCTACCTTCTGCTGGAATTCCCTGGCCCTGGCTCCCTGCCTGCAGCCCCACGCAGGCAGGGGAGCCCCAGCTTGGACTGAGCCGGCTGGGGCTGGTGCAAATGGGGGTCTGAATCTGCTGTTCAGTGCCATAATTTTTCCATCCCTCGTCCTTTGCTGGAGATAAAAGCTGCACAAGGACCGCCACTGGTGCTAATGCCTCTCGGAACTCGTGGGTGAGGGCGAAGCACCCACACCCCCACCCAGGGGTATTGGTGAGACACAGCAACGACCACAGCCATCCCCGCTTCCTTCCTGGAGGTTTATTTCTGTTTGGGGGATTTTCCCCCAGCTCCGAGAGTGAGTCCAGGCAGATATTTCAGGCCTTTTGGCTGCAAGAGCAGGCGCCGGGAGGTACATCCGCGGCCCCCTCAGCGGCAGGAGCACTTGCAGGCGGCCACCACGGGGTAGGGGATGTGCCGCCAGGTGCAGCTGGGGGGCGCGGGGGGCTGCGGGCTCCAGCAGTGCCAGGCCAGCAGCTTGATGCGGGTGAGCTGTGCGGGCCGGCAGGCCATGCCGGGGGGCCAGGAGCAGCCGGCGGGGCCGCTCTCGCACGTGGTGTGCCGCACCCAGCGGGGCCAGAACACGGGGCCCAGGTCCACCCAGGCGGAGGTGAGGCGGCAGGCGGCCCGTTCCACCAGCCACTGCTGCAGGCGGCGGGCCAGGGCCCCCGCCAGCTCGGGGGGCAGCGCCGGGGCGGGGGGCAGCAGCGCGGGCAGCTCCAGCCCCTCCACCTCTCGCCACAGCTTGCGACGATACCGCCCGGCGCCCTCGGCCAGGTCCCTGCTCATGGACTCCAGGTTCTCCTCGAGGATGCTCCCGTTGCGACCGCGGGGCTGCTCGGTCGCCATCCAGAAGGGGTCGAAGGCCGAGCCCAGGAGCCGGCGCAGCCGCCCGGGGCGCAGGTGCCGGGGCCTGGGGGCGTAGCGATAATCCTCGGGGGACAGCGACAGGCTGTAGGGCCGCACCGGCGCCGAGGGGTGGCCGCGCAGCAGGTGCGCGGCAGGGTCCGCGGTGCTGGACGGCGGCAGCGGCGGCTCCCGAGGCTCCTCCAGAGGCGGCGGTGAGCCTGGGGTGCCCGGCGGTGGGAGCAGGTAGAGGAGGAGGAGGAGGAGGCAGCTGCGGTGTGCTCCCTCCATGGCGAGCAGCGCTGTGACAGGCTGTGCCCGGCTGCAGGCTTGCACTCTGCCGCATCCCCTGGGTTATCACCACGTCCCGAGGCATGGCCTTCCCCTTTTCCCTGGTTACAGAGGCTGATAGGGAGCTGGCGGGGACACCTCGCTCCTTCCCACCAGAGGGGCAGGTGGGGGGGAGAAGCTGCATGGTCCCTCCTGCCACTGAGCCAGTGGGGATAATTTGGGCTGCTGTAGAGGGGAAGGGGCCAGTGCCTCCTTCTCCACATCCTGCACCGTCATTGGAAGAGGTACTCACAACTTTCCCAATGAAGGGAAGCTGGTGGCCTGTGATCTTTTCTCAGCAAGACTCACCAAGCTGTACTCAGTGCAGCGGGAAGTCCTCAGGGCGCAGGTCCTGTCACCAGGATGGACATGGTAGTAGGGCTGCATGTGTCACTGTCCTCTCCTGGCACATCAGCCAGCCCCAGGTGTCTCCAGGCAGCTGTGATGAAGCTGGACCTCTGGAGGTGGCCATCCTGGAGGTTTTGTCCTCCCTCCCATACTGTAGTACTGGTGGAATGGAGACCTGGATTGGATGGAATCCAAAACTGGCTTTCTCCTCCTTCCCCAGGTCAGACATTGTGGGAGAGGCTCAATGTGCTCAGTGCTACTAACAATTAATTAATAACATCTAGTGACAGCAATTAATTGCTCATCCTCCAGAGGGTTTAGGACTCTGTATTTGAGGGACAGAGTAGGGAGGAGGCTCACAGTTGTGGGATTTTTATGTTCCCTGAAGGTGTTGGAAAACACATCCTGAACACCCAGCATTGAGAAGTGGCTGCTGAGGTCCAAGGGACCCTTTCCTCCTCTATCCTCTCTTTTCCACCAGAGAGTGGTGAGCTTTCTCTCTGCCACCCCCTTCTCAGCAGGAGGAGCAGGGAGCAGCTGAGCCTGCAGGAAAGCTGGGCAGAGAGGAGTTAACTCCAAACCCAACCTCAGGGAGAGGGGAAAAAAAACAGCAGAGAACTATGGATCAGCAGCAAGAGCAGAGGGAGGGAAAAGGGGGAGTCAGAGAGAGAGGAGAGGAGCTCCAGAAGAAGAGAGAGCAGAGCTGGTGGCGGGCAGGGGGAGGCAGCGGAGCACCAGGCAGGAGTGACTGGGATAACCGAGCTGCCCAGATAAACTCCTCCGTGGTCTGCCTCCTCCCGCTGCCGCTGCGTGGGCTGCACTGGACGTCTCTCCCTAAGCGTGTGGCAAAGCTGCAGGCCCTTCCTCAAAAAGGTGAGTACCGGCTTCCAAAGCTGAAAGGTGGCCTCAGGCTCCCTGAGCAGAGACACCCTGATGCATTTTGCATGCCCAGAAGGAGACGGGGCTCCTCTGCCTCAGTGAGGAGATCCATCCCCCATGGGGCCAGATGGATAAGCGGGAGGGTAGCTATCAGTGGGACAGAGGGGACCAAAGACACAGAGAGGCAGGGACCGTCTCTCGGTGTGGTACACAAAGAAGCTGGGAAGCAGAAGTGGCATGAGCTGAGGGATGGGGGAGTATGGAGTGAAGGAGCTTGCATGACCCAAAACCGAGTTAATTGCTTGTCAACAGTAGCTAGATAAGTGTCTTTCCTTCTCTGTTTTTGCTCAGAGAAGGACAATTTGTTCTAATGATAGCATAACAAGGAGAAGGCTTATTCAGAGATAGGCTGTTGGTGTTCCCTGCCTGAGCACAGTGTTACTCAGGGCTGGAGGAAGTTTTGCAGCAAATCACAATACCTTGAGCTGTGATAATAACAGGCTCATCATGTTGTATTTCAGGTGGCTCCAGGGTCTCCTCCCCATCCTCACCTACCTGCCACCATCCAGCCCTTGATCACCTCTCAGCATCAGGAAAAGGTGCATTTAGTTGCATTTTCTCTGTGGAGCGTAGCTACTGCACAGGGAGCAAGGAGCAGCCAGCTCCAGGGTGGAGGGGTCCCAGCTTAAGGAGTTCCCTTGGGGTGGGAATGCATTGGGGTGCTGTTGCTGTGGGGTGTGATCCAGGCATCGGGTCCCTGCTGCAGGAGGTGGCACAGCCCTGGGCTGAGTGTGCTGGGACCACTTAGAGCCCATGGGAGCCTCCTACCCCCTGGCCCTGTGGCCAGACCCTGTTGAACACTAGCCAGGGTTTAGACTTGCCAAAGCAAGCAATCCCTAGGGGTTCAGCAGATTTGGGAATGTAGGAGGAAGGTGGGTGAGGCCAGGTGGCAGGGCAGGAGGGATCCTTCAGGTGCTGGGAGCACAGATGTTCTGATGGCAATGTGAATCTGGGCAGGAGAAAGACGCTTCAGCTCTGCTCAAGCCAGGCAGATGTGGGCTGACTGACCACAACTGCGTTCTTGCCAGTGATGTCACGAGGGTCTTGGTGGCACATTTAACCAGCTGGTTGGGACTGGCATCTCTGGGAGAAATGTGTGTCAAAGGCTGGGGTCAGGCACCTTGTAGCCTATTATCCCTTTCTCCCAATGCAGGTCCCTGCAGTCTGATAGGAAGATGCCAGGGGGATTGAACATCTCTTCTGACAGCCCAGAGCTACGAGCAGCAGGGATTATTGTGCCCATCATTTTCTCCCTCATCTTCCTTGTGGGTACTGTAGGAAATGGGCTGGTGCTGGCAGTGCTGCTGTGGAATGGCCAGGTCAAGTACTCCACCACCAACCTCTTCATCCTCAACCTGGCTGTGGCCGACTTGTGCTTCATCATCTGCTGTGTCCCTTTCCAGGCCACCATTTACACCCTGGATGGGTGGCTCTTTGGGGCCTTTGCCTGCAAGGCTGTGCATTTCCTGATCTACCTCACCATGTATGCCAGCAGCTTTACCCTGGCTGCTGTCTCTGTTGACAGGTAAGTGTCCCCTTCCCTTTGAGTTCTGCAGCTCAGGGACATTGTGTTTGCCACTCTTGAGCTAAGGGTGGGAGAAAGGCCACTACTTACCCTGTTGGGTGTCCTGTAAGAAGCAGGTTGGGTCTCCCCAGAGGTAGGGCCAGCAGAGCCAGTCTCCCTACCTCCCCATGCCCTCCCCCTCTAACAAGCTAAGCTCTCAGCCTAATTACTCAGTGCTCACTTGGAAAGGAGGGGAGTCCACATGCATAAGCAAGAACAGCAAAACCCCAGGTCAGCAACACAACTCAGAAGGAACAGGAGAGTCCTGTCCTGCTCCTATCCTTCTCTTACCTGGTTCAAAAGATACACTGCTTGCCCTTCCTGAGCTAGCACAGCAGAGTGGGTGATAGAGATCCCAGGCACACGGTTGGAATGACCCTGATAGTTTTGTGAATTCACTGTAACCCTCCCTCCCAAAAGATTTGGGATGGAAGAGATGGGTGGCTGCATAGGAAGGGGTATACAGATGGCAGCCCCACAATGAAGGATGAATACCTCATCTCACCCATGTTGTGTTTTTTCTCTCCTTCTCCTTCCCCTCCTTGCCAGGTACTTGGCCATTCGCTATCCCCTGAAGTCCCGGGACCTCCGCACATCCCGAAATGCAGGAGTGGCCATTGTGGTGATCTGGTCACTGTCGATGCTCTTCGCAGGGCCTTACCTCAGTTACTACCAGATAATCCTTTACCATGGGGTGCCCATCTGTGTCCCCATCTGGGAGGACCAGCGCAGAAAGGTTCTGGACATCCTCACATTTGTGTTTGGGTACCTGCTGCCTGTGACTGTGGTGAGCCTGGCATACTCTAGGACCATCAAGTTCTTGTGGACTTCTGTAGACCCCATAGAAAGAATCTCAGAGTCTCGGAAAGCCAAGCGTAAGGTCACCAAGATGATTGTCACAGTAGCCATCCTGTTCTGCCTCTGCTGGCTGCCCCACCACCTGGTCATTCTCTGCTTCTGGTTTGGCCACTTTCCCTTCAACCGGGCCACTTACGCTTTCCGCCTGGCTTCCCACTGCCTCTCCTACACCAACTCCTGCCTCAACCCCATTGTCTACGCCCTCATCTCCAAGCATTTCCGCAAGCGTTTCAAGCAGGCCTTCACCTGCCTCTTCTTCCAGAACAAGATCAGGAAAAAGAAGAAGAAGAGAGTTGGAAGGAAAGTCCATATGGTCAACGTGGAAGGAGGTTTTGCCAACAGGACAGAAGATTTCTATGGAGGCAACACTGAGGTGACCCAAGCCCCAGAAGGGAACACCAGGAAGAGAGACCATGAAGGTGTCAGTCGTGCCAAAGCATGGACTCAGCAGGTACAAGATGCCATGATCTCTGTTCAGAAGGAGCTACTGGAGGAGGAAATTTTGGCAACAGCTGGCCATTCCCTAGATGTGACCCCTCTAAGAGAAACTGCTGGACAAGACCAAGAAGAAACCCTAGAAAAGGGCTAGAGAGGCAAGAAAGAAGTCTCTATTTGCATCACGTTTTCTGACCACATCACAGTGGTTTTGCTTTCCTCTAGGATTCTAGGATCATCATGCCCACGCCTTATCCCTGCTGAGATGGTTTTATGTTAGCAGTAAGAGATGAGCTCACACATTCAGACCCATTAAGTCTGAGTTCAAGTCCCCCAGAACTCCTCAAACACCTCCTCCATGATCCTGTAGTCATGTCTGAGACCTGCCATCATCCCAGCTCAATATTCACAGTAAACTTTAAGTGACTGCAACAGCTGTCCTTTTCTTTAATTACATATGGTGTTTTATTAGTGCTGTGTGGGTCCTGAATATGTAACCCTTAATGTGAGGCAGGTCTGCACCTGTAATTTCTTAAGAGAAGGTGAAAATTGGGAAGCTTAGGAGAAAGGGGAAAACTGTGACATTGTGGGACACCCAGACTTCTACACTGAAGCTGGGAAACAATTACAGGTGGTCATGGCACCTATAGGTGTCCTGAGCCCTGTGGGGGCTACAAAATCCTCTGGTGTCCTCACTTGTCCCCATGCATGGTGCTGGAAGTTGTGTCAAAAGTAAAGGAGTTTTGGCCTCAGCCAGTGCTGTAGGCATTGTACAGTGGGGCTGGGTGACATCAGGCAGCTTGCAGAGCTGTGATGTGCATGAGCAGAGCCATGATCTCCCCCTTATTTCTCTTTTTCTGTTTGTTCCCTACTTCTGTTTGTGTAAATCTTTCCTTTTTGCTTTGTCCTGCCCACTCTTAATTCCCAGCTGGCATGGTATTTCTTACACTCACTGAAGCTGTTGTTCACCTTGCTAGAGCTCAGCTCCAAGGACATCCCTTTTTCTGTGTGGAGGCTAACTGAAGAGGAAGGCCAACAGTGCTGGGAATTAGTTTTCTTTTTCCATTCAAGTGCTTGATGTTGCTTTCTGCACTTTGAGCCTCCCTTGCCTCTCTCCCTATTTCTGATTTTTCCACCTCTCTCCTTTTGTGGTGGCTGCCACTTCTCTACAGTGAATCTCTTTCAGAAACGTGTCCAGTGTGCTTTCCTGGGTACAGTGAGTTCTGCAGCCACCCTTTGCACATTGTGCCATGGCTGGTGGCCAGCCCACATGGTCTCATCATTTCTTCAGGTGAAGACTCACTCCACAGCCCAAAGTGTTGGAGGGAGAAGGGAACAGCAATCAGGAGCAATGACGTGGCACAGCTGGACACTGCCTGTTCTTGCCTAGAAGCAGCTGGGCTGTTGCTCACCCCTGATCCTGTTCCTCCTGGTCCCAGATTGCAAATGGGGCAGATCAGATCAAGACTGACTGCTGCACATTGAGGTGAAGCCTAAATGAAACAGGACAGAGAGGACAGGGAAGATCTTGGGGAGAAGGTGCATTTAGCATGACAAGTAGCTGCAAGCCCTGGGCCCCTTCACTGTGTTCTGCTTGGTGCTAAGCCCCAATTTTGGGGACCACATAAGCAGGAAGGGCAAGTGCTGAGCCTGGGTTGGGAAGGCTCTGGAGCCAGAAGGGAATTCCTGTCTATTCAGTACCAGTTTATGTGCTCCAACTGGCTTCTCAGCTCAAAAGCAGAGGTTAAACAAAGATGTCACATCCTTGATAGAGAGACAGGTTTAATTAAAACTGAAGGAGTTTGATTACTGCTTTCCACGCAGCCTTCCCTCCAGACTGATTGGCATTCTGCAGTCTCTGCTCCCAGCTTCTTGCCTTAATTAATTACTCTTTTCTCTTATTTTCTACCCTACTTTTCATCACTCAGGCTGACAAGCTCCTCTTTAACCCTGCAGGGACTGGTTTGCCACATCAGTAGAGTGCAGCTGTTCCAAGATCTGGAACAGGGTAGATGAAATGGGAGAGGTGTGAGCAGGTCAGGGTTCTGCATCTAGTGGTAAGCATCAGCTCTTCTCTGTGGAGTAACTTAGTCCTGCTAACTGTGTGCTGATTCTGGTATCTGGCATCTCCCTGGCATGTGTGACAGGAGCCTGACATCCTGGGAAGTGCCAGACCCAGTGCCAAGAAGCTCATCCTGCTTATGACCCTGTGTGTAAATCTGGCAGCCCTGGGAAGGGAATTCTCGTTATTTGCTTTTGGGTTTAGCTGCTGGTTGCTAATCTATGACCAGCACTAGCAAGTTGCCAGGTGATTATTTTAATTCTTCCATGTGCTCTCTTCCCCTCTGAGAGATTTCATTAAAAAAACCCAGAGGAATGTGGTTTGCCATACCTCCTTTAGCATCTTCCTAATCAAAACTTGCTGATTCCTTCTCCTAGTCACCCCATGGGCCCTGGCCTGCTCAGGGCTGCTCCCCAGGCTAGTCAGGCACAATGCATGAAGAAGGCATCTTTGTAAGTATCTTTTTCTGTGATGGAAGAGACCTTTGCTCACAGAGTGAGCAAAGGAAATGCGTGAAAGGGTGAGAAGTTTGCCAAAGACGCTTCATGGGGCTTCCTTAGCAGACAGATAATTGCTGTGCTGGATTTGAAGTCTGCTAGAAAGGCAAAGGGGGAGAAAGTAAATGAGTTTAGCTGTTGGAGATTAATTATTTTGTCTGCTGAAGAGCTGAACAAATTCTTGATGTTCACACACATTGCAGTGTGTGCTTTGCACTCGATTGTGTGGGTGAAGTGACTGCTCCAGAGAAAGGTCATTTGCTTAGTAACATCCATGCAGCTTTGCTGGGAGGCCTTGTCAGAGCTGCTGCTTCTGCTGTGGCTCCTCTGTGAGACACAAGCAGGTTCTGAGGATCTGCCTTCGCTTGCTCAAGGCAGATCCTCAGTCTGGCTGGTTTTGGCTGCATCTTACAGTACATCAGCAGCCTTAGAACCAGGGAAGTTGCTGCTGGGTTCAATGGCTGGGAATTCTGCAGATCCATGCTCTGAATCAGGAGAGGAGATTGAGTGTATTTGGAGGTCAGGTAGTGGTGAGAGGGAACCAAAGCCCAAAGCCCCAGTTCATATCATGGCCCTGAGAATGGGGACTTATCATTGCCCAGGAAGAGATCTGGGGGATGCATTTGATGGTGTAGCACAAAGAAAATGAGGAGTTTGGACTGATTCTAATGGCAAAATAAATAGCAGATGGAAACCTGTGCTGTTGTTTCTATTCTCCATTACTGCAGCAGACATCTCTGGGAGACACAGAGAACTGCCACCAGCCTCACAGGTTGTGCAGGGAAATCTGTGGCACAGGGTGCAAGGACAGAGAAAAGCTGCTGGGAGAAGCTGAAGCCTCTAGGCCAGAAGCAGAAAAAAAAACAGGCAGTGCCAGTCAACAGCTCCCAGCACAGTGGGAAGCCATGTTTTCTCCTTCCCTGGAACAGCTTCTTTCCTGCCCAGCACCTAATTCTCATTCTGGATACAGCTGCTGAGCATGACAGGGTGGTTAAGGCTCTGGGTATGACTGGCTGATGCAAAGAAACCTAAAACTTTTCTCCATCCAGTGCCAAACACATAAGGCTCAGGGCAGCCCACAGCTTCAAGCCCTGAGGCAGGAAAGCAGAACTGACTGTGGTGATTCATAGAATACAATTCCTATGTGATACATTTTTTTCTCCACTGAAAACCAGATGTGCTTTTCTCTTTCTTACCTGGTATTACTGCTAAAACAGTGGCAAAACTTCCTATAGCCATTTGGTTTTTATTGCCTCTCCTGCCATGGTGGGAGCACTGTGGCAAAAGCAGCAAGACAATTGCTCCTGGCTGGCTGCAGCACCCCCACCTTTCCCCTCTGTCAGGAGCTGTTAAGAAAAAACCCAGCACTAGGCAAGAAAAAAACATGAAGATCTGTTGACAACATCACGTGGGCCGAGACTAAAAGCTTCACTCAGAGTCTCAGCTAGATGTGTTCCTGGGTTTGAGGAGAGCTTGCAAGAGGTGTCTACTTAGAGACAACATCAGCAACTGAAGTAACTGCAGAGATAAAAAGCATTTTAGCCACGTGCTCTTCAGGCACCTTAATGGTCTCCTCAGCAACAAGGCTGCTGAGGGCAGAAGCGCTGGCAGCTGGGTGTACATGGACATCAAGGCTGGGCTCTAAAGATGGGAAGAGACAAGGTGAGTAAAGACTGGGCATGAAGGTCACCTGCTCCTCACATAGGGGCCATGTTGGAAGTTCTCTACCCTGCCCAGATGTCCCTCCCCAGCCCCTCATCCTTGCTGTCTCTTCACAGCACAGCCATTTTATTCAGCATGGGGCAAGGCATGACTTCTGCTACTGGGCAAGGCTGCTTTTCCTCTCTGCAAAATATCTCATCTTGCAGCTTGAAGCACCCCTGCTGGGATTCCCTCTCCTCTGTTTGTACGGTTTCACAGCAACTACATAGATTTTAAATTTGGATTTCTTGGCTGTGGAAGTCAGGATCAGAAAAGGTCAGCCAGCAACCCTGTACTTTGATCTGCAAACAGAGTGGTGATTGAACTCAAACAACTTTGTGTTGTCACTTCTGATTTGAGAGTAGCATTTAGCAAGTCCAGTGCTGTGCATGGGGCCTGGAACAGACATAAAGAAAGAGGAATGGGTCGCTTTGAAAAAGAGAACTTGGCCAAGGAGTCACAAAAGGCTGACAGGATTTTATTGAAGTTGAATATACAAAAAGGTCAGATTGTCTCCCACCCTCTCGGCATCCTTCCCATCCAGCACATCGTAACGAATATGCACAGTGACAGCTCCAGCCCAGCCATGGGACTGCTGCTCCCAGCTGTGTCCTCCAGCAGCTCACAGATGAACCCATCTAAAAGCCATGCCTATTTCTGGTATCTCAGCTTTGAACAGAAGTCCGCTTAGCCTCCTCCTGGACAAGAGGCAGGTATCAGAGAGCATGCTGACCTAAAGATCTCTGAGGAACTCTCCAAACTGTGGTTGCTGCATATTTAAGGTGAATCTTAATAATAACCTCTTTCAAACCAGTGACTCCCAAGCTGTGGGATAGGTGTGGCTACCAGCACACCATGTTGTGGTACACAGGTGGGAACTTAGATCACTATTGACATGTTCCTATCTCCCTGTTGCTGTTGGTGCCCTATCAATGAGATTTCCTGGATCTCTGCTCCACAACAAAGCAACCTAAATCTTCATTGCTAACCACAGTGGGCAGAAGCGAGAGAGCAGCAGGAGCATCTCCCTGCATCCTTCATAGCTGCATCACTTCAGGCTCCCAGCATAAACCATAATTCGTTTCTCACACTGCACTTAAGGTTCTCCATGACAAGCAAGAGATACAGAATGGCTGAGCAATGGGTTTGGTGCTGCTGAGGCAGAGGTAAATCCACCTCCATCCTAGCCCAATACAGCTGAGTGCACAATACCCCCTGTCACAACTGGACCTCTTGCCTGAGACTGCCAGTAACAGGAAATGTTACTTATCGTGGGGCTTTTTTGCAAGACGTAGGTGTCTGACTAGAACTGCGTTAAGATTGTCACCCTCCTGTCCTTATTCTCGCAACAGGGCAGCTCTGACCTGCTAGCTGGGTATTTTTTGGAAGTGTTACACTGTAATATTTTAGCGCTAACTTACAGCAGACTTAAAAATGGGTCCAGTGAAAGGTGTTAGTCTAGCCATGAAAAACTTTGTATCCCATTTGTAACCAGACACATTCTCTGCTGTCTGATAGCAGGCAATGGGGAAGGTGAGGATTAAGCCTCATTAAGCTCTGACAAGGCCTCCCTGCATGTTTCTTAAGGCAGAATGTTTGCTCAGCTTCTAGCATGCAGAATTAAATGTGCGTTCTTCTCACAGCACAAAGCCTTCTGCTGTTCAAGGCATTCACTTTCTCCCTCATGCAATTGAGCAGTATGGAGGGGGCAAAAGATGCCTTTTCCAAGCAGGAATGTTCCAAGCTTTTCTGTGATGCTGGCCAGCTGCTGAGTGCACTAGTAAGAGCTGGTAACTGCACATGGCATTGGTCACCACCTACATTGAGCTGATGTACTTAGGAGAAGGCAAAATATCTCTGGAAAGGGTACCCTAATCATCGCCAGCCCCTCTGGTAAAAAGTAGAGCAGCTCTTTTACCCCAAAGTCACAGCTGCAGCGTTCTTGTCTGTTGCCTTTGTTGTGCAAAGCCTGCTGCCTTCCTGTGAGGAAGCTGTGGCAGCACCAACAGGAACAGTCTGAGCACCACTGGAGAGTCAGTCTGGGCAGGAATGGCTGCTGGCAGCAATGTTTAGTCAGTGATCTGAGAAGCAAACTTCAGCTTCCTTTTCTCTCTAAGGCTTCTCCTGCTGCTTCAGGAAGATGATTTGGCAGCCCATTACCTGTTGTCCATCTTCTGCATCTGCAGGCTGAGTGACGTGAAGCTGGCCAGGAGGTCTGTAACCTCATCCACCTGACAGAATACATGGCTATCAGGGAGGGGAATGCAGCTGTGCAGCCACCCAGCCCCACAGAAGAAACCCCCATGCAGCAGGGACCACCCTTGCACTAGAATTGCCAGTAATGCCCACGCTGAACTTATACTAGGACAGGATTCTTTTGGTGCCAAGAATCATGCAGAAGGGCTACTGTCCTCATCATCAAACAAGCCCTAATCTAAGGCAATAGGAGTTTCTCCCCATTCCTCAAGAGGTGATGCTTGACTTCCCTTCTGTATCATTTGGCCAGTCCTTAAAATACCAGCATGTTGCTACATTACCCAAAACTCAAATATGATATCAGGGCTATTTCCTCTAAGCCTGTTTCTAGGGGCCAGTCTTTTGTAGGAAAAAAACCCCAGGCCCTGCAACCCTGTGTACTTGTGCTGATCCTGGCCTTAAACTGACTGTCCTCAGCCCATCTGATCCTCAGCTTCCCTGCTACTTGGCACTGTGATGCTTTCTGCATTTTGAGTTTTCACCTAAAGGAGTACCATGAGTCATCATGTAACTTGCCCACTTGCCCCAGTGTGAGCAATAACCATGTCTGCAATGCCCCACTGCTCATGCAGTTGCATTCTCCCAAATGCAGGAGTCCCAGTGCAAGGAGGTGAGTCAGAGCAGCTCAATGCTGCCTACCTGCTCCTTTGTGCTAGTCATCTGTAGCCTGGAGCAGAGGTCATCCAGCTGTTCCTTTTGCTCATGCCTCCCCAGACGGTCTAGGTATTCCCGCAACATCTGGATAATCTGAAACAAATGGGCATAAGAGGCAAACATCAGAAAGCTGCACTGGGCTGGAGTGTTTCTACAGGAAAAATTAAATTGCCAAACATACAGCCTTAAAGCTGCAGAACGTGACAGAGTACACGACCCCTAGAGACAAACCCAGGCAAAGCAACTACATGGCACTAATGGCAGCATCAGAGTCCAATGAGTCACCAGTCACAGATGGGCTAGCTGTGATCCTTGTGCCGGGTTAAGAACAGGGCACAAGGGAAGAGAGATAAGCCCAGCTGAAGCAGCACAAGGTCTAGCCCTGAAAGCACCAAACTTTTCTTTATGGCTAGTCAGCTTCCCTCACTGTGAGGAGCAGGGACTTCTAATTCCAGCAGGATCTGCTCATGCACAGAGGATAAAAATACTTGTGTCTATGTGGCTCCTGAAGTGAGGCCCACGCCCCATGCATTTGCAGGCCCAGGAGTGCTTTCCTATTCCATGCCTCTACATACTGGAGCAGGATAGATTGTGTTAGGAATACAGAGAATACAGCACAGCTACAGCCTCGTGCCTTGTCCCTCTCCTGCCACAAGGCATCTCTTACATCGTGGTTGAAGAAAAGAGTATGCTTCATACAGCCCCAGAATCCACTCAATGCATCCTTAGCTTACCAGAGCCAAGGGAGGCCCTGGAAAAAATTAAAGTAGAGGCTGAGAAAAAGGAAGGTCTCTGAAAATGGAAGTCAAACTCTTCCCACAGCAGTTAAGAGCCTACCGACAGGCATTTAAGTAAAGGGGGCAGGAGGCTGCCAGGGGCTGTACCCCATTACCAGAACATGGGGCTGTTTCTTTTACCTGTTTCACTTCAAGGCGTACAGCCTCCAGGCTGTGGGAGAATCCTTCCTGCAGGATATTCAGCTTTGACTTAGCCAGGTGCAGTGGGGTTCTGCCAGCTCGATCCAAGGCATCAACTCTGGCCCCTGCAAGATGCACGAGCAGGGACAGTGAGGTCTGTCACCAGGATTTGGTGCCCCTGGAGAGTTTCAACTGGTCAGGAAGGGAACAGGCTATAACTGTTATAGAGGAAATGTTACCTCCGCGCAGCAGCGTGGTGATGACAGGAACGTGGTTCGTGCAGGCAGCTGGGGAGGGAAAACACAGGACACACAACTCAGAGGTACAAACAAAAATGAGTTTCTGCTCTAGCAAAGAGCTTACTGCTTCCCAAAGGGCTTTGCTAGAGGAAAGAAGAATGGCCCAAATGCTAAGGTACCCACCCACTCAAGCCTAAGTACTCTATCTGGAACAGATCTTGGACTCCTCGGGGTTGGCAAAGGGAGGGAAATCAATTTTTTCAAACCTTTTCTTGACTTTAAATCTTTGTGAGGAGTGAATCTAATGAAATGCAGAGTCCCTCCTAGGTCCTTAAATTTGGGGATGCATTCTGTGAGGCACAGGCAAGAGGAAGGTGGAGAGGAAAGGAACAGTAAGGAGGTTCTCACCTCACTTTTCTGCATGCAAAGCTCATTGTGTGGCACTTACCCAAGTGTAAGGGAGTATTGCCCAGCCCATCTCTCTGGTTTGGATCAGCCCCATGGTCCAGAAGCAGTTGGACTAGAAACAAGGAAACAGAGACATATCTTTGCCCCACAGGTCCATGTGGCAGCCACCAGGCTGCCCTACAGGTGCTTCTGTTCAGCTCATCAGCTTCCTTACTGAGACAGGGACAGAGGTTTGCACAGCAATGCAGAAGGACCCAGCACAAGGCCATGCAGTGCCACTGCTCCTGAGCTCCCTGATGCAAAGAACTGGGAGGAAGGACACCCTTCCCTCTGCACCAGTACAGTCCTAGATCTGGGACTGCTCCCCTTCCAGCAGGCACACATGGCAAATCCTGAGTCCAGAGTTGGCAACTTTGACACAAAAGGAACAGAAAAGAGCAACCTCTGACAGGTGCTGAAGCAAAATAAAGAGCACCCTTCCAAGTTCCCACCACAGAGAGGCTGGAAGACAGAACTCCCCCTCCACTCACCAATGTGATCGTTGCCATTGCAGGAGGCAAAGTGCAGGGCTGTCCGGCCTTTGTCGTCCGCAGCACAGGGGTCAGCTCCATCCTCCAGGAGTTGCTGCACTGACAGAACCAAGGAGAAAAAAAGCAGGTAAGCTGGAGGGGCACCTGATCAGAGAGGTGATGCTATCTGCTCTTTTGGGGCTAGAGAAACATGCTGTCAGCTGCTAAGTCAACTGGACTTAAACCAGTTCCCACTAGTATCCTAGCTCAGCAGAACCAGCAGAACCTCCACCCTGTGATTCAGCCTTCACCACCTTCCACACGTTGCCATGAAAGATAAGCCAACAGCTCTAATGGCTAAAGATCCACCTAGCACATTTTCAAGTTCCAAGGACAATCAGCAGCAAATACCTAGAGAAGAATACAAAAGGATAGGAAGGACATGGGGCTAACTCTTGGCTTTAGTCAGCTGCATCTCAGGCACTTCCCAAGCTGGAATTAGCATCCTGTGCTTACTACAACCCCTCCATAGGCTTTCCCTGTGGATTTACACAGTTATTTTCTGCACCTGTGTAAACTTTTGACGTCAACGTGGACCCATGGTCAGACGTTTCACAGTGTAAGCACAGGTAGTGAGAAAAGCCACTTCTTCACACCTGTTCTGATTATGCCCTTTCCTAACCAATGGTGGCTACAGTTTGGGAAGCAGGAAGGGGAATGCACCGACCTGCCAAGAGCCGAGCAAAGAGATCAGTAAAGGGTGGAAAGATTAGGGGCATAAAAATAGCACCTACACAACATGTGTTAGGGGCATCTGTAAGGGCTGTTACTTCTGCTGTTTTGAGATCACCCTGATATACTACCTGGTGTGTAAAATAGAGCTCATTCCATAACTGTTAAAAATGCTGACAGGTTCACTACATTTTGAGATCTTTAAACAGCATATTCTAGAACAGTCGAGACCGTTTCAGGCCACTGAAAGTCACCATTCATCTCAGCTTCCAGAAAGTGAATTATAGCCACCTTTGAATCTCTTCCAGTACACATCCTACTTCAAGTGGGGTACATAACTGAAAAGAACACCTAAAAACATGGAAGTGGTGTTAACATTGAATGTTTGATACTTCAGAAGAAAGAATGGGAAACTGACAGTGCCCCAGTGAGAACCATATAGGAACAATTTAGCTACTCTTACCCTGAACCAAGTAGGAATGACATAACCTCTCCACCCAGTGCCACCACAGGAAACAGCAAAGATGTTTACTTGTTGATGAAAAATAAATTAATCATAGCACACTTCCTCAAGTTGCAGAGTAAACAAGAGACAAGAGGACTGTAAACATGGCAACCTGTCTATCAAATCCAATGTGGATTGAAACCAAGACTTCCATAAAACTGCATTCTTTCATCTTCCTGTTGGAAATTATATAACTTTTTAATAATTTTAGTTAGTGATTTTAATTAACTTTTATATTAATTGCTTTAGTTAATCATAACCTGTATATGCAATTATAAAGTGTGTGTGATTCCTAAATTATTCTTAGCCAGTATTTAGCAAAGCTGTCATAACGTACTTTTGTAGGAACACAGCCTGGGGAAACTACTGGAACTTTAACTTTTGATAAACTGATTCTGATATGCTTCAATGAACAAAACCAGAGAAAGATGTATGGTTGAGGTTGGACATGTGGAATGTAGAATTTATGGACCACAAGGACCTTGCAGAAACCAGAAGATAAAGAAGGGACTAACAAAGACTCAGTGTATGTGTTGGAAAATCCCTACCAGAGGAAAAAGATATTAAAACAACTGAAAATATGGACTAACTAGCATGAGAAGTGAGAAGTCAATAACCCACAGAGGACAGAGTACTAATTAATAAGAGAGAATTATGTAATTTATAACCAACAAACATTAATTTCTTTGTTTGCTAAAAAGTATAAATAAGTGAAGAAGCTTTATATCCGTGTCTAAGTGGAGGCCAGAATTTGTGAGCCACACAAATCCCTCCTGGCCAACAACAAAGTAACATCTCACACACTAACACTAAAAAGAAAGTGTTAGAGGGGTTTATTTACCCCAACAATTTTGAAGGATTTGGTAACAATTTACTGGTGACCCAGGTGAGACAACACATTTGATGTTCCACAGACTTACAGGAACAAGGACTTTGGTGCACACTGACAGAATTTTTTCAGGGAATTTTTTCAATCCTCTGATCCAGGTGAGTTCAAGGCAAAAACCCCTGGGACTTTATTAAGACATTACTGAAGGTTTTAAAAGGTACACCTAATCATAAGCTTGCACTCTCTAACATATTAAGAGTTAAGAAAGTGATGATATAATTGGCTATTTCCTATTAAAAGTTAGTGTAAAACTCTGTAAGTGAATATTAATGGAATTGTGTTTGAGTCCCACTGCCTAGCTGGAAAACTGTATTTGTAAAACTATATAAGTGACTAACAAAAGGTGTGGTTTGAGTCTTCACCCTCTGCTTTGCCCACAGATTAGTCAGACAATGCTGCTTGCGCAAAGAGCCACGCTGTGGAAGGGCTTTGCCCAGACATTGCTGTGTTTATTAAAGCCTATGGTATCTGTTAGTGCTGGAAAATGCAAGTGTGTGGTAATGTGAGTGTGTCATAAGTATAAATTGAGTTTGTATGAAAATTCGTTGGCTGTAAGAGTGTTGAAGCCATTGTACGTGAATTTTAGGATATTTGGAGTGTACTAAGTGTTTGGGAAATGTAAATTGTCAAAGCAAGGCTCGTTTGCTCAAAGCTCTCTGCTGGCGTTAGCTCAGCGGCTGCTACTGCTCCAGCGACTGAATTGTATTGGTGTGCACAGAGCGCTCTCTCGTGTCCGTTTTAGTCATTGCTGGAATCCTGATTTACTGTGGGCTTCCCTTCTTCTTCTCGAGCCCAGGAAGAGGGGAACACCCAAATGTTCACCTTTAGGTTGTATTTTGCAGCACTGGAAAGAATTTAAAAGCAATTCTTTAACTTGTACACAGGTAATAGAATATTGTATTCTCTGGTGGCTAGATTATCTATTAGATAATCAAGAAAAATGGCCAGTTCATGGTATTTTACACCAAAATGGTATTTTAGAGTTGATGTTACGTTGCCGAAAGAAAGAGAAATGGAATAGTACTTCAAGCAGTGATGAGACAAGTAGCCAAAGAAAAACACAGAGAAACACATTGGGGAGCAGAAGCTATTAGAGATAACTTGAAACATCAAGTAAAGTGTAAAAAAAGTGTAAAAAAACCAGGAATCTAAAGTGTAGTCAGCAAGTGTAAAATATGTTTGCAACACAATCCACATCCAAGGATGTGCCCTACAGAGCACATCCTTGAGGGACTACAAAAAGAGGAAACTGTCCTGGAGTTTACAGGCAAACAGATTTTTCTGAGTTACCTTGACAAGAGGGATATTGATAACCTATTGGCTTTAGCTGACACATTTTTTGGATAGCTGCTTGCACCAACAAAGCAAGAGAAGTTACCAAGGTATTGTTAAAAGAGATAATACCCCAATTTGGAATGAATGATCTATGATATCTTATTACAAAACACAAACAAAATTTTTGTATTTTAATGGCTTAAGTTTTGCTAGATACTCAATGATTTAAGTGGAAGTAATCTTAAAGGAAAATTAAGATCACTTCCAAAGGGGGGAATTGTCAGAAATGTCAGAACTTTTTAGTAATTTTAGTTAATGGTTTTAATTACCATTAAGTTGATTTTTTAGTCATTTATTTATTTATTTATTATATATTTATTAATTATAAATAGTGTGTTATTCTTTTATTACTCTCAGCCAGCACCAAGCAAAGTTGTCATTAAGTTATTTTTGTAGGAATACAGATTGCAAAAACTACTAAAACTTTTAAGTTTTGATAAACTAACTCTGATATGCTTCAATTACCAAAGCCTGAGAGAGAAAGATGTAGTGTTGAGATTGGACATCAGGAAAGCAGAATTTATAGACCATAAGGGAATTTTGCAGAAACCAGAAGAGTCCAGCTCTGGCCCTGGTTCTAATCTACTGGGTCATGCTGCCTCATTATACAGGGTATGGCTTAGATAATTGTAACTTTTCCACCTAAATCAAAACATTATTCTCTTGCTGCTAACAACTGGGCAAGAGAACATACCAAAACAGCCGGGACAGTGCAGTGCTGCTTTAGCTCCAAGCAGATGGAAAACTAACACTATGAACCAGGCGCAGTGAAAAAGTGAACACAATAATCAGCCCCACTCTGCTCAGAGAACAAAAGCTGGGCTTTAAAAAAGCATTTTCTAGATCTGAAGCATCTAAAGCATCCTGTCCACAAACCATCTGCACTCACTTCCTCCTCTCCAAAAGTAAGAGTCCGAGAGACACTGCCTTTCCAAGAAGAGGTCCCAAGTGGGACTGACAGAAGCCTTACCTGTGTCCAAATCATTGCTATTGGCAGCTTCACGCAGCCTTTTCAGAGCTACGGAGGAAAGAAAGCAATTACTGGAAAGCACCGAGGAAAAAGGCACGTTTCCCTACTGAAACATTCCATCCCGGAGCACAAGTGCGGGGCCAAATCACGCTGGTACCGGCTCCAGAGAACGGGAAGCAGATCAAGGCACCAGGTAACGATGGTTCTCCCCGTCTCCTCCCGAACCGCCCACTCCTGACGGGCACACTCCCCTGGCAGCGCCAGGGGCTTCCCCAGCCGCGCACCGAACAGAGCCCACCTCCCTCCCGCAGCCCGTGCGGAGCCGGCCGCAGGAGGGGCTGTTCCGCCGCTCACCGTGCGCCTCCTTGCCCGTGGGCCCCAGCCGGCGGTGGAGGCGGGCGGCCCTGCGCAGGCGGCGGGCCGGGATCTTGCCCGCGGGCTCCTCCCGCTGCCACAGGACGTGCAGGTAACCGAGGGGTGCGCCCGGTCCCAGTGGCGGCAGCGCGATGCGCGGCTGTGGCTCCGACTCCGGCCCCGGCCCCGACTCTGACTCCGGCTCCGGTTCGGGCCCCGCGCCGGGCGCCCCGTCAGCCCCACCGCCGCCCTCCATCCCGTCACGGCCCGGGCCGCGGAGAGGGCAGGGCGTCGCCATGGCAACGGGGCGGACCGCGTCCTCTCGACCAATGAAAGGCGACACAACCCATGCATGCAGCCAATGGGGAGGAAGCGGATAGGAAAGAGACGGGGCGGGAAGTGGAGACTGTGGGCAGGAGAGCCTGACGGGCAGTTGTTTTCTCCAATCAGAAAGAGGAGGAGGCCACGGCCGGCCCGCGGCGGCTCAGCAGGCTGAAGACAGGCAGTTGCTTTAGCCAATAGAAAGGCTCAGCCGCCTCCCCGCCCGCCCCGCCCCTGCGCCCGCGCCGCGCCAGTCCCGCGTTTCCGGCCGGAGCCCTTTCCGTGCCGTGCCGCCGCCATGGCCTACCCGGGGGAGGACTACGACAACGAGGTACGGCCGGGGCGCCGGGGGCGCGAGGGTCGGGTCCGGGTCTGGGTCTGGGTCCGGGTCCGGGCTGTTCGCGGGGACTCACTGCCGCCCTCTCCTCATAGGCTGCCTATGACCCCTACGCGTACTCCAACGACTATGATATGCACACGGGTGAGTGTGAGGGCCCCACGCGCGCCCCGGGCCCGCCTGCGCCCCGCCGGGTCTTTGGGGCCAGGCCGGGCCGTGCGACCGCTGCCTCACTGCTCCTCTTTCTACGCAGGAGACCCCAAGCAGGACCTGGCCTACGAACGCCAGTACGAACAGCAGACCTACCAGGTGATCCCCGAAGTGATCAAAAACTTCATCCAGTATTTTCACAAGACGGTGTCAGATCTCATTGACCAGAAGGTGTACGAGCTCCAGGCCAGCCGTGTTTCCAGTGATGTTATTGACCAGAAGGTGTACGAGATCCAGGACATTTATGAGAACAGGTACAATACTATTCTTCAGCAGATGGAAATCGTTATTTTAACTGTGATGCTGTTAAAAGGAAGGGCTCACTACCTCTGCTGTTCCAAACTTGGGCTTTCTCTGAAACAGGTTTGGTTTGTTTACTGTGGGAAAAAAATTCCTAGGTATTTCCAGCCCATGAGGCCAATGTGAGTATACACGAGTTGTGATCTGTCTGAAGGGAGATTCAGCACTGGCCTAACAGGAAGGGAGGCTGCAGAGCGGGCAGTGGTGCTAGTCAGGCAGTTTGCAGAAAGCTGTCAGGTGTAGCTTTTGTGTCCCTTCCCAACAGCTATGTCTATTCCTGCTTGTAGCTGTGTCAGCTTGAAATAAAGGGAATGTGAAAGTAACATACATGTTTGTTTTGTGCCTGGGAGATAAAGTGAAGTCTCACTGCTTAGTTTGTGATTCTCATAATTTGCTTCAACATTGGACTTACTAATAGGGGTATGTTGTGCCCTCAGCTTTCACCAAGTCCAAGGCCTCTCTCTGTTGTCATCTCTGACTCCAGCACCGTCATACTCAGTGAGATGTGGCTTTTCATACCACATGTGTGTCTGTTTTTCAGCTGGACAAAACTGACAGAAAGGTTTTTTAAGAACACTCCGTGGCCAGAGGCTGAGGCCATTGCTCCTCAGGTTGGAAATGGTGAGTCTTCCACTTTCCCTTGGGTTCTCAGGGAGAGAAGGAACTGAATCCCTCCTGATCCTGAGTTGGCAGGTGCACAAAGTTGTTGCTGCCTGAGTCAGTCGCCTTTGTTCACTCTGGCAGCTCCTTCAGCAGATGCCTGGCAAGAAGTCAGACTTGAGCAAAGTGTCTTATTGTGGCTTGCTAATGTTCTCTTCTGTGATCTTTTCCAGATGCAGTTTTCCTGATCCTATACAAGGAGCTGTACTACAGGCACATCTACGCCAAAGTCAGCGTGAGTGTTGGCCCTGTGTCTTCTTGTGGGTTTCGTGCTGGCTTCTCTGTGCCAGCAAACTTGACAAGTCTTGCAGCCACTACAGTATCAGTGGTCCCCTAATCTTTGCAAGGCAAAATTGGGTGGGTTTGTGAGCTCTAAGTCACATTGATTTTAGGGAAGCTTAAAATTCTTGCTTTTGTTAGTTTAGTAAGGATTCACTGATTGCTGAAAAGCAAGAAAGACTTGATTGTCTATTTGAAGCTCATTAGCTGTCCAAGCTTGGCGGTGATGAGTGTACAGGTTTCTCTGGTAGCTCAGATGAATCAGGAGACTGGATCTGAGTGTTCAGGAGGCTCTTTGTTGCTAACAGTAAATGTAATGGTTAGTGAGTAAGGGAAGAAGGGGGTGTTGGAAGGTAACTGAATTTTCGTTTTTATTGCTTATGTGTGGTCCTTTGTGGCTCCTCTTCAAATGAGCAGGCAGTGAGAAGGGGTGTCACAAGAGGAAGGTGCATTATTTGTTATGAATAACCTCACATGGAATCAGAGTGCCTTGTGAAAAAGGAAATGTGGATAGCATAAAGGATGGAGAAGAAGGAAATGAAAGGAATAATGCTCTGTGAAACAAAACAAACTGCCTTTTTTAAAGCCTCTTTAATCAGTGAGAAAGTTGTAGTACTTTGTTCTTAAAGAAAAAAAATCTCAACAGATGCACGACTTAATGGATGAATAAGTAATACCTGCAGTTTTACTGTGTACCAGAGGGTGGAGAAATGGGCACTGTTAAAAGGCTGCTGTGTTAACCCAAGCCAGGCTTCAACAGGAGAAACTGGTTTCTCAGGCTGTGCTGTTAGTGGTTCTCAGACTCAGTGTCTCCAACTGAAACAAGAGCCAGTAGGTCAAGTGTTTAGAAATGATGTCCAGAAACAGAATTGTTGATCTATTAAGAATTCTCATGAGCAGAGAAGGAAGGAAAGCTGGTGAAGGTAATGGGAAATTCTTGAATCTGAACAGCAGAGGGGAACAGGGAAGGTTAAATGCAGAATATTCACAGGAGGTTTGACATCATGGGAGAAGCTGTCTGTATAGGAAAAGTCATCCCTGTTTTGTGGGACAACAGTGCTACAATGTCTGTTTTTCTGGGTGATGTTGGTGGGTGTGCTGGTTGAATACTGCCTCTAGCACTCCTGAACTAGACCTTCTACTACTGTGATTGTCCTTCTTATGCTGTTGCCCATGAGCTCCCTCCTGCCCTGCTTGATTTGAAGCAGACTCTGCTGACTTCTCTTTGCAGGGGGGGCCCACGCTGGAGCAGAGATTTGAGTCCTATTACAATTACTGCAATCTCTTCAACTACATCCTCAGTGAGTTGCTGCAATTAATTTCTGGTTTGTGAGTTTTGGAGAGAACGATCAGATGGAGAGGGAAGAGCTGAAGAAAGGGTCAGGATAACTGCAACATGTTTGTTTATAAATAATAGAGAGAAAGGTAGTCTGTAAGCTCTCTGCACGTTTGAGTTTGTTGAATGAAGAGCAATTTATATCCATGGATTTAAAACCACAAAAAGCAGAAATAGTTTCCAGTGCTTTCTGAAGTACTGTAAAGAATAAAACTTATTTAGATTTCTGTCTTGCTGAGAACTGCTCCATCTATCTTTATTAAAAAGTGAAATGAAACAGTAAGCTAAAGAAAACCTGCAGTGTTTCATGACTGTTTACTGTTGTTCACTCCCCTTGGAGCAAATGTTAGTGTTTGTGACTCCTTGCCAAGCCTCATGTGGAGAATGGATCAGTTAGGATAAACCCCTGCAGTCTCTGTGCAGCTTCTGAGAGCTGATGCTGCTGAACAGTCACACTCCAGTGATTAACCGTGTGCATGTTCATAGTCTTTGAAAGTGAAGGCAGTTGAGGTAGTCAAAGCTGCATCTCAGCCTTACTGAAAGCTTCATTCATCTGCTGCTCCATCTCCCATTTCAGGGAAATTCTTATGTTCTTTAATTTGTCTGTTCCTCCAGTTCTGACAATGTTCTTGCTGAAGGTGTTAACCCTCTCATCTGTTCTCCTGCAGATGCTGATGGCCCCGCTCCTCTGGAACTGCCCAACCAGTGGCTCTGGGATATCATTGATGAATTCATATACCAGGTATGTGATTATAAAACTGGGCCATTTTGCGGTGGCCTTGCCTTTATTAGTGGTATAAATTTTCCATCTCTTCCCTTGTTGTGATTTCCATAACAAGGAAATCCATGGCAGGTTGAAAATCTTTGGTAATCACCGTTACTCTTTTGTTACCAGGTGGATGAAGTAGTAGTAAATGTACAGATTTTTAAGTTACAAGGTGCTCTTTTGGGAGTCCTGAACTTTTGTGCCTATTTCTCTTTCAGAACAAAATTTCTCTTAGTCAGTAGGGCCTTTATGTGTGCACCTGATTTGAAATAAGCTGTGGTCAGAGATGGTGTTAAGCTGTAGTTAAGAAATATTTTTCCACTTACTGTTCTGAGTGCAGCAGTACAGATCTGAAATGCTATTGGTTTTTCTCTTTAGAGAATATATTCCCTTCTCTGTAACTTTTTATTATAGAGCTGCCTGGAATTCTTTGAGTGTTGTCTGGTCAATCTTGAGAACAAAAAGGATGTGTGCATATAAGGGGAAAAGATGCATGTATGCAAATGCGTCTTATAATTTGGTCATTCTTCTTTCTACCAGACAGCAAATTTGTGTTTAGTTGCCTTTCCTAATTGTTTAAGAGATCCTTTACTGCTTCGGTCTGTCTCCTGGCCTTTACCCTCTGTACTGTATAATTCTTTTAGGTGCTTTGAAGGTGGTATAATGTGCCATTTTGATTTCCATGTGATCTCATGTGAAACTTTTTTTTTCCATGCAACTTGTAATTTCTTGTAATGCATTTGTGTGAGCAAATTGTTAGCTTAGTGCACTTACCTGAGCATCTCTACACAAGCTGCTCATCACTGAATCTCTGCTTTTTCCTGTAGTTCCAGTCTTTCAGCCAGTACCGCTGTAAAACAGCCAAGAAGTCTGAAGAGGAAATTGATT